AGTACCAACGGCTTCTGAGTCGCGCTAACGTTACGTTTTTATAAAATGTATATAAGCACTTGAAAAGATCAGAGGTTATACCGCAACAGTCCTTATCGAATTGATTTTGGGTTTGAGAGGTAGTTTGACCTTGACTTATGTGTTCTAGTTGAGATACATAGTTTGATATTAATTGGTTTCTCTAATTTCCGATATAGATCTAGACTACAGGCAGCTATGGAACCCTACACTGCGCGTGGCAGGATGCGCACTTGGCCGTTTTTTTATATTCTATTATTAAATTTTCGAGGCATCTTCCCAATTTGTTCCATTCTCTACCAAAGCTGTTAGTATTTAGCGGTGGGCGTTTAAACGAAAAGCGCTTAATTAAGCGCGCTTAAAATATTAAGCTTGTAAGCACGCTTTTAAGTATAAGCGTTATAACCTTTTCACTTAAAAAGTGTGAGTAAGCTTTTTACTTAAAAAAGTGCAAGTATATTTTTTACTTAAAAAGTGCAAATCCCGCCATCTATGTCTTTGCCAGGAAACTACATACTTCGATCCTTCTAGTCCACTACAGTATCGAAAAATGGGTAGGTACGCGGAATTCCTTGGAACTAAATATTTCACAGCATCACAGCCATAGAACGCGCGACTACAGCGCCGCGTCGGCGTGCCATCTTTCGTGAGCCGGTTAATACAGCATGCGAAATAATTATAATGCGACGTAAAAAAAATGCACTTTTTTAAATTTGGTCGGATAATCAACGCTTTTTTCGTTAAAAGCGTTTAATTAAACGAAGTCGAAAAGCAGTACGTTTGTCACTGTGACGGGGTAAGAGCGCGTGGGTGTTGTACGGTGTGTTTGCGTGCTTGCTTGTGTTAATGCGTTTCGTGTATTGGTTTAATGTGCATATAAAATAGTTAAAAGTATGTATATAAAATCAATGAACTTTTAAGTACGCCTGGATCACGAGTATATTAACTCCAGACAGTCCTAAGTTTGTAAAGTACGAAAGAAAGTTCATTGACTATTATAAAAATGTATAATGAGCCAGCAGTACTTCTTAATGCATTTATTAGTAAATCACAACAGAAATCACTCTACATAATAAAATTAATATATTTTCTCTCTAACACTCAAGCGCGTTGCTATGATACTCACAGCTCGACTCTACCGCGCAAGCGTGCAATTCGTAGGGTTGACGAACCTATATGGGGATGACCTAGGGTTGTTACACACTCCCCCTCTAGTTCGAACCTAGCGCCCTCGCGTTCGGACTAGCGCCTAATGTCCCCACGGTCTTCTGCACCTATTGTCTTCGCGGCCTACCACGCCTACGTCTTTCCCTAACTGGAGACTCGATAACGCCTACAAAAGGGGTCAAAGCAGACACATGATACCGACCTATCATCTCGCCACGAGAAGCTCCTTCTAACAGGTAAGTCGTCGGGCTTACGACCTCTCGGATCCGGTACGGCCCATTTCTTCTTGGTATAAACTTAGCAACTTGTCCCGTTCCGGTGTCATTAGCCCCCTGAGTCTTCAGCAGGATAAGGTCTCCGACTTTATAGTCGGGCGGCGGACGACGGCCCTCATCCGCGTATCTCTTATGAACGGCCTGCGCGCGGTCGTGCACGTCCCTGCCCTCTAAGAGCTCGTTAGCCAAGTTACGAAGATAAGGCGTAATGTTAGCGACGAAGTTATCACTATCCACAATAGCCTTCATATCTGCCACAACGTCCGCCGGTGCGCGCAGCTCCCTACCAAAAGTTAGATAAGCCGGTGAAAATCCAGTGCTGGTCGTAACAACGGAATTCATCGCAAACCTAATGGCTGCGAGGTGGGTATCCCATGTTGTGTGATCTTTGCCCCCGAGGATTGCTAACTGAGGCTTCAAATCGCGGTTTTTGCGTTCAACGGGGTTAGCTTCGGGGTGATACAACGGCGTCAGAGACTGTTTGATACCCATCACATGACAAGCCTGTTGCATCACCTCGGCAACAAACTGCACACCGTTGTCACTTATCATCCTACGTGGCACTCCATATCTCCATATCTCAATACTTCTGTTATAAGAATTTGGGTGCACTCGACACTGGTGGCGCTTTCTAAAGGGAAAAGCTCTACCCAACCAGTGCACACATCCTCCGCGACAAAAATCCAATTGTTGCCCCGCGGAGTTCTCGGCAACGGGCCAAATAAGTCCACTGATAACACTTCAAACCTTCGAGCTGGCGCCGGAGTTTGTAGGAGACCTGCAGGCTTCTTGTTTATTGCTTTGTAGCGCTGACAGGCCACACAGCGCTTCAGGTAGTCTGTAACAAAGGCCTTCATCCCTGGCCAAAAGTACCGGGACCTAATGCGCTGCAAAGTCTTTTCGGCGCCAAAATGTCCCGCGGTCGGAGCGTCATGAAACTCTTTGAGCACACTCTCCCTTTCGTGTGTTGGGACCACAAGGCACGCTGACTCGGTGTCCTCGGACTCTGGTGCGCACCTATACAATATCCCATCAGATATCAAATAATTTTATATTTTAGAGTAATTAAGCATACTTCGCAACCGCTTGTGTCGTTCTCGCAACAAGCGGGGCGGCTTAGCGCATCAGCCACCACGTTCGCTCTCCCAGGGGTATATTGGATCTGTAAATTGTATTCTTGGAGAGTCAAGGTCCATCTCGCAAGTCGACCACTTGGAGATTTTAGGCTCATTAGCCAGCGTAGAGGCTGGTGGTCAGACTTCACCACAACCTCTGAACCTTCTATGTAACATCTGAATTTGGAGACCGCCCAGACAACGGCTAAAGCCTCTCGCTCTGTGGTGGTATAGTTACGCTCCGCAGGCTCCAAAAGGCGACTGGCGTACTCCACAGACCTCTCGTCATGCCCCTCCCCCTGCATCAACACTGCTCCTAAGCAGTAGGCACTGCTGTCCGTCCTAAGCGAATATGGTTTGGTCTCATCTGCCTGGCGGAGAATTGGTGCGGTGGTTAAGAGATGTTTTATGCGTTCAAAGCTTACCCGTTGGTCATCCTGCCATTTCCAAGTGCTGTCCTTCATTAAGAGGTCAGTTAAAGGCTTGGCGATAGCAGCGTAGTTGGGTATGAATCGCCTGAAGCAACTGGATGTAGCTAAAAAGCTCTTGAGCTGCTTAACATTCTTTGGGGAAGACATGTCAGCTATAGCGGAAGTCTTTTGTGGGTCTACCTGTAGATACTCAATACGAAATCGAACTCCTCCATCCTTCTTGCTAACGAGAACAACATTCGCTGTCGAAGGTGACACGCATTCTTCAATTACGTCTGCCACCAGTAGCTTCCTAATCTCAGCTCTCCGCAACTCTTTTTTCCTCTGCTGCAGCCTGTAGGTTGGTGAAGCATTGAGTTCCTGCTTCTCGTCAACCCTAATTTGGTAGGTGGCATAGATTGTTGGTGGGCCTTCGGTGGCGAAGCGTGCAGCTTTACTTGCTACAAGCTGGTTGAGCTGGATTCTTTGTGCACCTGATAACTTTGATCCTTCATCTTCCCTCAGCAGCAGGCTGGTGGTATCAACGTCTATAATCGCAGCTTCATTGCTATTGGAGAGGCTAAAAGAATCAAGAAAAGGTACTTTATGAGTAGGCGAGTCGGAAAAATGCCATTGACCATGTCGGAAATCGAGTATAATTCCGGCTCGTTTTAGAAAATTTAGACCTAACAGTGTTCTATTGTCGGCACCTGGTATCACTAAAAAGGTAGTTGGTATGTCCCGATTGCAAATAGTTACTGATGTCTGACATACTAGCATGTCGTGCACCCGCCGTGTACCATCCGCAAGGCCAATTGAACGACGTGCCTTCGTGAAAATTGTACCGTCTTCGACGAGAATTTTGTGTAAATCAGGGCTGGCAAGGCATTCGGTAGCACCGCTATCTAACTTAACTATTCCTGTGCGGGATGCGATTTTTATGGATACGATTGGTCGCATAAGGTCGGGTGACACTGAGCATTCGCGTTCGTCGGTAAGCGCACTCCTGAAATCCGCCTTATCTATGGCGGGAGTGGTAGCAGTACAAGTTGGGCACTTTGTACGAACGACACCTTCACGGCCGCAACCATAACAAGACATAATTTTTTCGTAATCGCGTCCACTAGTTTCCGACTTGTTTCGACAGACATCTACCGAATGACCAAAGCGTTTACAAAAGCTACAGCGCGGTCTTACACGTTTTGGAGCTACTGTGTTCGAACTAGAGGTGGGCACGACTATTGTAGGGTTAGTTGGGTGGACATCGAACAACGGAGGGTTAATGTTTACATTTTGAGATTTCGTGTTCGATGTGTAAAAGTTGTTGGCGGTATTATGGGGTGATGTAGAGGATATTTTATTGCCATCCGCCTCATCTAAGGTCGTCTCCATATACCTTGCACGCTCAAGCAGACAGTCGACATCGTTAACACTTTCGCGCGGCACTCTTAAACGAATTCTGCGGTTTAGAAGGCCGTAAATGATGTCTGTTTGTACTTGCTCGGGGAGCACATAGGGAAGCCCTGACAAATTAGCACGCACTTTACAAATAAAAACATCAGAACTTTCTTCTGGGGACTGTTCTCTCTCAAATATCTCACGGAATATCCGGCGGGCAGGTCGAGGAGCACCATACATAAAACGCAATCTCTTCAGAGCGTCGTCCCACGTCGACACAGTTGACTTGATGCCTCGCCACCACACGGCGGCGTCGCCGGTAAGCAGCATTGACAAACCTCGTAGCGCATGGTCGTCGGATACTGAAGCACATTCTTTGTATACGTTCATGCTATCGATGAATGCTTCAACCACTTCTACGTCACGCCGGGATCCGTCAAAGCGTGCTGTACAGCTTGCGAAATTACCTTGCGACGTCGTTGCTGGAGACGAGAATGAATTGATGTTGGTATCTTTAGGTTTACTGGTTGTGGTCACGATGCTCTTCACTACGGTTGTCAATAACCGGGCAAGTTGTTCTTCGGTCATGGAGATCGGAGGACCATCGCGCTGGGCAGTTGCATCCGGCGGCGTGGTGGTGTGCTCAACGGCCTCCACGGCGGCATGTTGGTACTCACTACCGCTCGAATCATCTTCTAATCTGTCGCGCCGAGCATCTGGCGGTTGCATATGGGAAGCATCCTGAAGTATGGGATTCGATACCTCGATGTCGCTGGCTAGCTCTCTTCCTCCGTCCTCATCGCTGGGTATTTCGCGAGATGCGCTCGCTTGTCCAGCTTGTCTACGAGTGCGAGGCATTTTCTCTCGGCACTTGACAGCGGTCTCTCCTCAGCGGTGAACGTGGAAAATTGAGTTGTACTCACGTAACAGTAACTCTTTGTCGCAGTTCGTTTTATCTTGTTCGACGCGTATTATCGACGTCGAACTCGCTAGTTGGGCGCCATTTATAATGAGCCAGCAGTACTTCTTAATGCATTTATTAGTAAATCACAACAGAAATCACTCTACATAATAAAATTAATATATTTTCTCTCTAACACTCAAGCGCGTTGCTATGATACTCACAGCTCGACTCTACCGCGCAAGCGTGCAATTCGTAGGGTTGACGAACCTATATGGGGATGACCTAGGGTTGTTACAAATGTTTATTATAAAATCTAAATTCAATTGAAAATCTTTCGTTTTTAAAGCCAATCAATTCATTAGGTTTAAAAAAACTTTTTAATAAAAATTTCATTAATAAGAAGAAAAAACGCAATAAAACACTTAAACACATTAAAAACGATAATAAACTTTTCACGCTTTTTGAAACGATATACCTAAACGAAAACACAACACAACGTCGCGCTTTTTACGCATGCTTTTGAACGTTTAAGTCAATAATCGTTTAAACGAAAAAGCTTTTTTTCAAGCGCGCTTATTTTAAAAAGTACAACGTTTAAACGCTTTTAAGAAATAAGCCGTTTTTCCATCTCTATTAGTATTATCAGCTTTGGTAATCAGCTTATCTTGTATGTATCACCTATACAGTTATTTTATGACCTTTTTTATGCTTGCAAGTATCTGCATTGTTTTAGTATATCACACAGCAAATCTTATGCTCTCCTGTTATTTTTATTAGTACCACTCATATTTCTAAACGAAACCAAATAGAAATAGGTAATAACATTTATTTAACCATATCCTAAGTAAATGACGTTAAAACGTAAAGGAAGTGTCATTTTTGTTTGTTGAATAGCACAGAATATATTAGACTCTCTTTAAATAGACAAAAATAGTAAAGACAAAACTATGTAAAAATTAAAAAAATGAAATTGATAAAAGCTATGCTGTTTCTCAATTAAAGACATCACTTACGTAACCCAGACATTGGCAGAATCCTCGCGTAATGAGACGCAGCCATAATCACCAAAAATTGAATTGAATTAAATCACTTCCGTAAAATGGATCTGTCAGTTACAATCACAGAGAACTTTTAATTGCGATTAGTTATAGTTATATGTCCTATAACCCCTGACAGCCAAACATTAACTAAAATCTCTTGCTACTATGGTCGTAAGTATTTCACAAAGCATTAAACAGTTTTTTTTGCAAAGGCGAGACCTTTCCTGTTGAATAAAACATACACTAAGGCTTTTTCAGAGGTTTCACTTCAACAAACGTTTTTAATATGTTAAGTAGTAAAACAAATTATTACAAATTATCACATTTATTGCCTAAAATATTAATAACAAACACTCGGGAATTGATGCTACCTGAAGGTCGGTGGTCCGTTGTCGAAATAAGAAGTTCAAAAATATTCGGCCTTTACAGTACGGTTTATTTAGCACTTTGTAAAGGACGCCAGGTGTCAGGGTGATAATAGTAACAATAACTTGCTTAAATAGTTGAAAAAACGCCTGATACCTGGGCCGAGTAGATTTTTATCTAGTACAATTTTCTTTAGATTTAATAATATAGCAGATTAGTGCTTAAAATAAAAATATACTAAAGATAAAATTAGTTAAACTGAATAGCTAATTCAATATCCGATGTTCCTTGTGACGTCAATAAAGTTCTTCAGCCACAATGTTGTAAAATTCCAGATAGATTTATTTATGAAAACCATTTAAATAACAAGGCAAATTAAGCGATTATTCCAAAAACAAATTTCGGACAGCGAAAATTTGTTTATTACTGAAAATTTTCCAGAATTGGGATCGTATTGACTTCAATCGTAGATTAATTTTTCAAGCGTCTGGGTAAATCTTATTTTGGTAATATTTATATTTTTCCTAATATTTACTCGCTCATACTTTTTTATGTATAAAAGGCGCAGCCAATTATATCGACCCTACCTGCATACCTATATTATACATCAGTATATGTAACCAAACTCCTACTGAAGGACTGGATGGATTTTAGATTTCAATTAATTGATTGCGTTAAATTTCGGAGCCTCGGTGGTTTAGGTTCATAACTGAAAGATAGTTGCCGCTGCAATCAAGTTTTGAGATATTTTTTGGATATCGCACCTCAAAAGGAAAAAAAACAGAACTCTTATAGGATCACTTTGTTGCCCGTCTGTCTATTAAGACCTGAGATAAAGGGTTGCGCGTAAGGTATGGAGTTGAAATTTAAATCATTGGGACCCTCGAAAGTGTGAAAAAATTAACTCCTAAGTTAATGTCAAAAAATACGGCCGTTTATCTGCCTCTGGCAAGACCCCGAGTGAAGTTATGGAGTTGAAATTTAAAACATATATTCAAGTTTACTCTCCCTTAGAGAATGATTCACGCTACACCGTGTCACTACGGACGTAAGGACGTAACGAGCACTAAAAATCAGTACACATTTGGAAATGACATTTCGGACTCGCAAACTATTCGAATTCGACATTGGTTCGTGCTAAGGGTACAGTGCAGTACACTGATATCTTAAACCGGATCTGCTGCAGTAACGTTTGCGAGTTCGAAATGTCATTGATTGACAATGACATTTCGAACTCGCAAACTGATGTACTGATTTTTAGTTCTCGTTACGTCCTTTGTGCCGCTGCTGCTCAAGTTTCCATACAAAATTTTACATTGACATTTCACACTTGCAAACTATTCAAATTCGGTAATGGTTTGTGCTTAGGGGTACTGTTGCCTGGTATCGTAGTGTCAAGTATCGTTTACATGATGGTAAGTAGGTGCGGTATAAAATATACCTATATATATGAAATTCGTACTTCACAAACATTAAAAAGATTTCTACCAATCATAATCGTAATCAAAATTATTTATTCAGTTAAGGCTGTTACAAGTACTCATGAATGTCTAGACGCTATCGGTTCGGAAATCTACGGCGGGAGACCTTGTACTGAGAAGAACCGACAAGAAACTCTGCAAGGGCTGTTTTTTTTTTCTCCCTGATTTATTATTTACAGAGTCGTCATATTGAAAAATAAACAAACAATAAACGAAAGCTCTTTACTCGCATTTTTCTTTTTTATATTTTTGATTAAAACAAAGTAAAGTACTACCATTTAAATTTAAGGTTACCTAAAGAAATCTTTATTAGAAAACAGAAATCTCTCGATGTAAAAATAATGTAAGTTTTATAGTTAGGTCCGACAAATGACTCCACCCCACCTGATGTTAAGTGAAGGTGAAGTCCAGACGCGAAGATAGCTGATACAGCAGTTCTACCTGCCACACCAGCCATCCTCACCCTGCCGGCCTGCATGTTGCTTCTTCACGCCTCTTTTAAAGGATCCCAGGTTGTAAGAGGGAGGGAACACGTGAGCGGGCAGAGCATTCCATTTACGGATAGTGCGACAAAGAAATGAGTCACCAAATTTCTTTGTACGCGTTGGAATTGTGGCCACAGTAAGACGGTGACAACGTAGGCCAGCGCGCGTGGTCCTCTGAAGGAAAGGGGAAGGTGGGATAAGAGAGAATAACTCCTCAGAACACTCGCCGTGGTACAAACGATAGAACGCGCTTAGTGACGCCACGTCACGGCGTAATTGAAGAGGCTCAAGGTGTTTAGTCACCTCCTCATCGCCTATGATGCGGATCGCGCGCCGCTGTAACCTATCCAAAGCATCGAGCAAGTACTTGGCGGAGCCATCCCAGAGGTGCGAGCAATATTCCACGCAGGACCGCACTTGCGTTTTGTACAACAAGCACAGTTGATCGGGCGTGAAAAAACGCCGCACCTTGTTCAGGACTCCGAGTTTGCGTGAAGCTGTTTTGATCACGGTTTCGATGTAGTCCTTTGGATTCAGGTCTGAGCGAACCTCCATACCGAGCATGGAAATGTTGCTCTGCAGCGGTAGTGTTGTGCCCTGAAGAGATGGAAGGGGAAGGAATGGCGATGTTTTTGCCGTGAAAGCGCAAGCCTGAGTTTTCTTGGCATTGAACCCAACCAAGTTCCTGGTACCCCATTCGGAAATGTGGTCCAAAGCCTGATTGAGTTCAATGACAAGATTTTCCCGTTTCTCCCTGGTTACTGCCTGCCCAGCCGCTGCTTGTCCGAGATACCCCGCATGCACTGTACTATCGTCTGCATAGCAATGAATATTCCCAAGAGGAATCAAGTCATTGATATGCAGCAGAAAGAGAGTGGGGGATAGGACGGAGCCCTGGGGAACGCCGGCATTCACTGACATGAACCGCGAACTGCTACCATCCGTAAGGACACGAATTCTACGCTCATGCAGGAAGTCAGCTACCCAAGAACAGAACTGGGCTGGCAGACCGTATGCCGGAAGCTTGGAGAGAAGGCTTTTGTGCCAGACCCTGTCGAACGCCTTGGCAATGTCAAGGCTGATAGCCAGCGACTCGCCACGCTTGTCGATAGCCTCACCCCAGATATGAGTTAAGTACGCTAGAAGATCACCCGTCGATCGTTTCGGTCTAAATCCATATTGACGATCATTAATCAGGGAGTGATCCTCTAGGTAGCGGGTCAGATGGTTATTAAGGACCTTTTCTAGAACTTTACATAAAACTGAGGTGACTGCTATTGGCCGATAGTTTGCCGGGTCTGAGCGATCCCCTTTTTTGGGCACCGGTTGCACGTTGGCATCTCTCCAAGTCTCCGGCACACGCCCCAAAGAATACGAGCATTGGTACAAGCGCGTGAGCACGGGAGACAACTCCGCTGCACATTTTTTAAGTACTACTGCTGGTATGCCATCAGGTCCACTAGCTTTCCGGACGTCGAGTGATTGCAATTCGGCACGAACCTCACGCTGCCTGATTTTAATATCAGGCATTGTTGTGCCACAGTGAGGTAATGATGGTGGCAGTGCATTGCAATCATCGATTCGGGAGTTAGCCGCAAA